TTGGTTTGCCCTGTCAATGAAAAGTGTGAGTATAACACGGCAAAGGTCCGTATATAGCATGTACTTACCGAGTTCTTCCGCCACGTAAAAATGATATCCCCATGGTGTGCCTGAAAATAAACATAACGGAATAAGATGTTATATGTATACGATTGAGGTTCATAATGACAGTACGCATCACACTATGTCGATGATACGTACTAGTAATTAAATGCGCATGCGCTTTATATGTTGATGGTACATAGCGTCTCAACATGTCATATTATGCTATGACGTAATTTACTAGCGTCGTTTTACAACGAATAAAGCAACGTAACTATATGTATTCGTTATTTTAGCATTGTTCCGTGGTTTCACAACTTGTAAAGAAACTTCTTGTCATATCGGGCCCGATTAATACGGACAGATCTGCGGACGATATTTACCCGGACATATGATGGGAATTGCTACGTATTGTAAACACGAGTGGGTAAGCGTACTGAGTGTACTGCCAGTATCCAGAATCATAGATCTTAGCTTGAAAATGAAAATTTGCCTCATTATAATTGATCATGATACCGACTATTGATACAACTATTTTTATACACAACTTAGCATTGTATTACGTATAGTATATTACGTAAAATATGTTACATAAATTAGAGGGCCTGTCAATAATGGACAACTAATAATAAAAACCTTCCCTAAATACGTCTGGTCTAAAAAATAATTTACCGAAACAACTCAACAGAGAAATTGCTCCACAATTGTCAGAATTGGCGGGTGCATCTTTTTTTTTTAATGGAAGCCCCGACTGGTCGTGTTGCTAAATTTGACGATCTTAGACGAAACATACCTTTTTACACTGTATACCCGTCTTACTAAAAGTGACAATAGATTCGTTGTAGTGCTTATCATCTGTTAAGCATATGTGTCCCACAGCAAGTGTTATGTTCTGTGTCGTAAACGTATGTATACGTCACAGCTACTATTAAATACACAAGTTCTATTACATTTCGTTTGATATTTTTTTTTTTGTGCGGGATGTATGGGCTTTTTAATTTAATTATAAATAATAATAGTATTATGAATGAGTTATTGTTTACCTGTATGTCACATACACCTTTTTCTATATTTGACTGCGCTGTAATTGTGAACATATGGCTCTCGTTGTGACTGTCTGAGTATCGTGACAGTGCTTGTAGAGAACTGTCTTCATTATACCAAAATAGGTATGTACTAAATTATATGCCCAATAAAAATCACGGGATCGTATTTTTCTTATCTGGGATGTGACGTGATCACCAGATACACCGTCGCCAATCGATCAATCAGCACGAATGTCTCAATAACCCCTGTATTACGTGACATGTTCGCCTGTCTGTTCGAAGCGTTGATCCATAATTAGAAAAACGATATGCCAGCAGTTATTATTATTACGTCACGGTGACAACTGTTATCGTTGATGAATTACTACAGTGCATTTTGCCAGCTGCAGAAAGTGTGTATTTTTAATAAGTTCGATATTATGAGGGCAATCGCCAACAATTTCCGTAGATTTTAAATAGTTCTGATGTCGTGACCGTGATCGTGATAAACGAGTAAGTAATGATTGTTGACATTGTTGTTTTATAAACAAATAATTTATTGAAAACCATCTGTGGTCTGTATCTACATGTGTCAATACATTCCCTGTATTTGCACAAAAATGACAATGATATTATATATTTGACAGTATCATAACAGTTACAATTCTTTAGTGAAAATAATCTGCATCAACCATGGAAAGTCTCCTCCGAATTATCATTATATTATTCATATTTGATGAATTGGAAAACTAATTCTTTATTTAAAGAATCTCAATACAATTCTAGATCACAGGTCGTAACGTATTTAAAAATCTGAAAACGTAACACTTATATTACTCTGTAGCAGTATAATTCTAAGTGGGGTACGTGTGGGTGGAAGTGGGGCGATTTCAGCCTCAGTAAAATTTTAATCCTACTTACCCGACCCTGAGCTTCTCCTTGAAGGTGCTCCATGTGAGCTGCCCAACACTGCCAACACGATCACAATAATGAAGGTATTCATGGCTGTATCCTTAAACTGTGGAAATAGTCGAAAATCTGTAGTTATGTAGACTTTTCGCAAACCAGGGGACCGCACTCCCACAAAGATTAATGCGTCATGATATGGGTGCGGACCCCCAGAATCGAAAATAAAGATACTTTAGTGTTTTCGTCGGCTTGACAAATTACTATGACTAGATGATTTGAATCTAATAAATACTTGACACTGACATTTACAATATTTACTACTACTTTGAGTGTAGAAAATTGGTAAAATTATAATAAGAAAACTAAATTATACCATAAAAACACAAAAAGTGGGCTTTGATTATAAATGTATTCATAACAATTTGGAAATGTCGATCATCAGCTTTCATTGAAATTCAAATATTTAATTGTGATTGGCTCAAGAGATAAAAATTGTTTAC